GGCAAAATTTTCTTTTAACGTGATTTGTCCCCGAATTAAATTTGTTATTTTGACTCGACTACACATGCGCAGGAATGAGGCTTGGTTTGGTTTATTTTGTATTTTTATCAACCGCATTGGGTTATTTAATACTGACAAGATTTTTAGGATAGGTTCGTATGAATAAAATATGTATTCTTTGTAAGAAATCAGTTTGTAGATCAGGTTTGGTTTATTTTGTTTTACGGCATATGAACACCTCAATGGGTTATTTAATGCCAACAAGATTTTTAGGATAGGTCCGTATGAATAAAATATGTATTCTTTGTAAGAAATCAGTTTGTAGATAAGGTTTCATTATCGTATTTTTGTAAAGAGGGGTTTTTTTTGTCGAGGGTCAAATATCTTGCTGGTAATATTTTTTGCTCGTATTCTTACTACAAAAATCTATTTTTAAATCTTTCATTGTGATTTGACGTCAGTTTGGGAAATCACTATTTACTCATAGTTGGGACAGTAAAAAAAAAAGGGAAAAAGTTTCAATCATCTATTGAGACTATTCACAGATCCCCAGTGAAAGATCAATTGATAAGTCCTGTTGTTTAAGGGTTACATCTGCCAGGTTATAAATGTGGTTTTATTGGTTTGGTTTATTTTGTTTTACGGCATATCAACAACTCAATGGGTTATTTAATGCCAATAATATTTTTAGGATAGGTTCGTATGAATAGAATATGTACTCTTTGTAAGAAATCAGTTTGCAGATAAGATTTGGTTTATTTTTTATGGCATATCAACCTCAATGGGTTATATAATGCCGACAAGATTTTTAGGATAGGTTCGTATGAATAGAATATGTACTCTTTGTTAGAAATTAGTTTGTAGATCAGGTTTGGTTTATTTTTTATGGTATATCAACCTCAATGGGTCATTTAATGCCAACTAGATTTTAAGGATAGGTTCGTATGAATAGAATATGTATTCTTTGTAAGAAATCTGTTTGTGGATTAGGTTTGGCTTATTTTCTTTTACGGCATATCAACCTCAATGGGTTATGTAATGCCGACAACATTTTTAGGATAGATTCGTATGAATAGAATATGTATTCTATGGTTTAGATTGGTTTGGTTTATTTTGTTTTACGGCATATCAACCTCAATGGGTTATTTAATGCCGACAACATTTTAGGATAGATTCGTATGAATAGAATATGTATTCTTTGGTTTAGATTGGTTTGGTTTATTTTCTTTTGTTTCAATGGGTTATGTAATGCCGACAGCATTTTTAGGATATCATATGAGTAGAAATGTATTCTTTGGTTTAATGGGTTTGGTTTATTTTTCTTTTGCATATCAACCTCAATGTTATTTATTTAAACATTTTTTAGGATAGATTCGTATGAATAGAATATGTATTCTATGTTGGAATTGGTTTAGTTTATTGGCATATTTGGGTTATTTTTATTTTTAGATTTATTCTTTGGTTTCAATTGGTTTGGTTTATTTTTCTTTTTATTTAATGGGTTATTTAACAACAACATTTTAGGATAGATTCGTATGAATAGAATATGTATTCTATGGTTTAGATTGGTTTGGTTTTTTTTTTTACGGCATATCAACCTCAATGGGTTATGGTTTATTGGTTTGGTTTATTTTCTTTGCCATATCAACAATTTTAATGGACAACATTTTAGGATAGAATGAATAGAATATGTATTCTATGGTTTAGATTGGTTTGGTTTATTTTTCTTTTACGGCATATCAACCTCAATGGGTTATTTAATGCCGACAACATTTTTAGGATAGATTCGTATGAATAGAATATGTATTCTATGGTTTAGATTGGTTTGGTTTATTTTCTTTTACGGCATATCAACCTCAATGGGTTATTTAATGCCGACAACATTTTTAGGATAGATTCGTATGAATAGAATATGTATTCTTTGGTTTAGATTGGTTTGGTTTATTTTCTTTTACGGCATATCAACCTCAATGGGTTATTTAATGCCGACAACATTTTTAGGATAGATTCGTACGAATAGAATATGTATTCTTTGGTTTAGACTGGTATGGTTTATTTTGTTTTACGGTGTGGCACCATGCATAATTAGAAAGCTGAAAAGAGATGTTCATAAATATATGATTTGTTTTTTTCGGTTTGTTAACCATTTGATAATTATTTAGAGCTGAGAAATATTTGGGGGGTTAGGAATAATTCTTTCTTTACATTTAGGCGATCTGAGAGAAAGAAAGAAAAGAAAAGGAAGGAAAGAAAGGAGAAAAATAAATAATACGAAACCAGGTCGTAAGCGAAAACACACACGCTCGACTGGCACATATCAGATGTCAAAAATATCAGGTCAAGCACCGACCTACTTTCGTGTCCGCGGAGGATGGGAGTTTGTTATCAATTTGGTTGAAGAAATAAAAGTTTAGAGACAATGAAAAAAATATGATAGGTAATAGGTGAGAAGTTTATCTAAGGATATACAGACAATCCATTAATACGAGAACCAGAATTGAAAATACAGTCACACAGGATGATGATTAGAAAATGCTTTTTTTTGAGATAATTAAGATTTTGTTGTCAAGCTCCGAGCGGAGGGAAAAAGTGAAATATTTTTATTAGTTCACGTTAACGCCACCCAGGGTGATGTCGCTTTTTGAGATAATACAGATTTTTATTATCGACCGGGGAGAATGAAATATTTTGTTGCGTTCAGACGGCCGCCGACAGGTCTAAGAAATTCTTTTCTTAGATCGTATCCAATTAGCGGTAGGCTGTTTGACAGATACCACGTGTAAAAAGAACCGATAGCGTCATTCGATCACGTACGAAAAGGACAATTTAAATTTTGTTTTTTAAGCAAGGTGTTTCTTCCCCAGAACAAAGCCACGGATTGTCCACGCCCGATTAGAGACGTCACGAAGGAAGGAGGAAAGATACCGACCAGAATCTCATTGGCCGAGGGCGGTTACGTGTGTGCGAGGGAGGAGGAAAGATGCCCGACCAGGACCCCATTGGTCGAGAGCGGTCACCTGACATACGAGGGACCAGGGGAAGCGGGTATACGCCTCCCCCCCAGAGGCACAGTAAAGAAGTAGGAGTGAAAGTAAGTTACCGATAATGGAAAATCCCTAATCAGAAATAATACGTCTTTAGAATTATCAAGAAAACCCTGGCGCCGACAGACCCACCCCCAGTTTTTGACTGCCTCAATAAAAGCAGGACCCTAACCGACTGAAAACAGTTGGAGTTGCAGCGCGGAAGAGAGAGTTAGTTGCAGCGCGGACGGCGGGCCCTGTTCATTAGTCCCCTTTGCGGCAAGAAAGGCCGGTTCGTTTGGCCTAAGAAGAGAAATTCGTCCAACCCAAGTCGAAGTGAATAAATTCGTCCAACCCAAGCCGAAGTGAATAAGATCGTCGCGCACTGAAGCAGCCCGTTTGAGATAAGTGGAGAAGTTGGAATCAAACCGAAGTGAAGAAATTCGTTGCAGCCACGGACGGACAGCGGAGATGAGTGAACAATAATCAGACTCTGTGAAAACGACACGGACGGCGAGAGAAATCAGAACCCAGTGTTGAAGCGCCCAGTGTTGAAACCAAACCACCCCGAAATGCAAATTTCTAGAGAGCAAGCAACTCGAAGCCTTAAAGTTGTATGGTAGAAGCTTGGTGCCACGGTCCACAGAACGGGTCGGGAGGTAGGAATAATCGGTAACGAACATTTAGATATAAAAAGTTGTTACCTTTTTCTTCAATAATTTTTGACCTTGTGAGTTTTTCTTTTTCTTGTGTGTTATCACCCCATTGGACTCAGCTTGCATACGGCCCCAATCCCTGTTTGATCCCGTCTGTCTAAGATCTAATCACAACGTGGGTAGGCAGACCGGAGATCAGTGCAGTTACCCTAGTAACCAGGCGTTGGAAGCGAGTTGGGAACGACGAGGCTGGTATTCATCTAACCAAAGGGTTAGAACGTCACTTGGAGCAGCGAGGAGCGAACAGCTGACGCCGCGGCAAAGACGTCACAACTGGTGTCGTGACCATAGGATCAGAACCCTGGACCACGTCACGTCACAGTTGGCGTCGCGAACGGGATCGAACGACACAGTCGACGCTGCGACCAGGGGGGACGACGTCACACGGCATATCAACCTCAATGGGTTATTTAATGCCAACAAGATTTTTAGGTTAGATTCGTATGAATAGAATATGTATTCTTTGGTTTAGATTGATTTAGTTTATTTTGTTTTTCGGCATATCAACATCAATGGGTTATTTAATGCCGACAACATTTTTAGGTTAGGTTCGTATGAATAGTATATGTATTCTTTGGTTTAGATTGATTTGGTTTATTTTGTTTTTCAGCATATCAACCTCAATGGATTATTTAATGCCGACAACATTTTTAGCATAGGTTCGTATGAATAGAATATGTACTCTTTGTAAGAAATCAGTTTGTAGATCAGGTTTCATTGACGTATCCAGAAACTGCATAATAATTTTTTCTCTGGAAATCCGTCTTTACTTACATATTCTGTCTATGGTATCCTCACCATCTTTCTGTAGAACCACATTTCTGTTGCTTCAAGTCTCTTCTTCACCTTTGAGGAAAATATCCAACAGTCACTGTGATTTTGGAGGACAAATGGTTGGCTTATTTAAACTGTAAAATGATGAGACCTTTCCGTCAATCTAGTCTTCTTTTATATGCCACGTCCAACCAGGATGTAGGCGATCACGGCCCTCCACATCTTTCTGTCCCTTGGAGCATGTTTTGTCTTTTTCTTATTTTCTCCTAAACCCTATTCTATCATCCATTTACTCAAGCTCATCAACTATCTCACGCACTGCTTTCTTCTGTTCCTCTTGCCATCAATTGGAGTTGCAGAGTTTAATGGACGATTTGATGGAAGACTGACCAGGAATATTTTAATGTATTTACAAAGAGAAGGAATTTTGCTTGTCACCACACACTTTCATTTCCATCTTTCTCTTAACAGCTTACCTTTTTTTTTCATGTCTGATTGCTTTCTATCTTTCATCCTCTTTCATCTTTCTTTCTTTCTTTCTTTTTCATCCTCTTCGTTCTTTCAACATTTTCCTTTTACTTTCTTTTTTCTTTCTTTTTCAACATTGTCTTCTTTCTTTCTTCTTTTTTCATTCTCTTCTTTCAGCATTTTCTTTTCACGTTCTTTTTCGTTGTTTCAACATTGTCTTCTTTCTTTCTTTCTTTCTTTCTTTCTTATAATTCTTTCTTTCAACATTGTCTTCTTTCTTTCTTCTTTTTTCATTCTCTTCTTTCAGCATTTTCTTTTCACGTTCTTTTTCGTTGTTTCAACATTGTCTTCTTTCTTTCTTTCTTTCTTATAATTCTTTCTTTCAACATTGTCTTCTTTCTTTCTTCTTTTTTTCATTCTCTTCTTTCGGGATTTTCTTTTCCCGTTCTTTTTCTTTCCTTCAACATTGTGTCGTTCTTTCTTTCCTTCTTTATTTCTTCATCATCCTCTTTCATTCAACATTTACTTTTCACGTTCTTTTTCTTTCTTTCAACATTGTCGTCTTTCTTTCTTCATTCACTTCTTATTTCAAAATTGTCTCTCCACTTTCTTTTTCCTTCTTTATTCCTTCATCTTCTTTCTTTCAACATTTTTTTAATTTCTTTTTCTCTCTTTCAATATTGTATTCATTCTTTCTTTCTTTCTTTCTTTATTTATTTATTCTCTTCTTTATTTTAATTTTTTTTTCCTCTGACCTTTTCGTTGTTTCCTTCTTCCTTCTCTTCTTCCTTTCAATATTTTCTTTTTCATTCTTTCTTTCAAAATGGTCTTATTTCTTCTTTTCTATCTTTCTTTATTTATTCATCCTCTTCTTTATTTCAACATTTTCTTTCCACTTTCTTTTTCTTTCTTTCAACATAGTCTTCGTTCTGTCTTTCTTTTTTTCTTTGTTTCTTTCTTTTTTCCTTCAAAATTTTCTTTGCAATTTTTTCCTTCTTTTTTCTTTCTTTCTTTCTTTCTTTCTTTCTTTCCTTCCTTCTTTCTGTCTTTCTTTCAACTTTGTCTTCGTTCTTTCTTTCTTCCTTTCTTTCTTTAATCACCCTCATCATGTTTCAACATTTTCTTTTCACTCTTTTCTTTCTTTCCTTCAACGTTGTCTTCGTTCTTTCTTTCGTTCTTCCTTCCTTTCTTTCTTTATTCTCTTTTTTCAACATTTTCTTTTCCCTTTTTTCTTTCTTTTTCTTTCAACATTGTCTTAGTTCTTTCTTTCCTTCTCTTCCTTGATGCTCTTCATTCTTCCTACATTTTCTTTTCACTTTCTTTTTCTTTCTATCATTTAACACTCTTTTCGTTCGTTCGTCCTTTCTTTCTTTCCTTCAACAGTCTTCTTTCTTTCTTTTTTTCTTTCTTTCTTTCTTTTATCACCCTCCTCTTTCTTTCAACATTTTCTTTTCACTTTCTTTTTCGTGCTTTCTTTCTTCATCCTCTTCTTCTTTTCAATATTTTCTTTTCAATTTTATATTCTTTCTTTCAACATTGTTTTTATTTTTCCTTCCTACCTTCCTTCCTTTCTTTCGTCATTCTTTTATTTTTTCTTTTCACGTTCCTTTTATTTATTTTTTTAGGATCTTCTTCGTTCGTTCTTTCTTTCTTTCGTTCTTCATCCTCTTCTTTCTTTCAACATATTCTTTTCCATTTCTTTTCCTTTCCTTCTTTCAACGTTGTCTTCGTTCTTTCTTACTTTCTTTCTTCTTCCTTTCAATCTTTTCTTTTAATTTTCTTTTTCTTTCTTTTAATCATTGTCTTAGTTTTTTCTTATCTTCTTCCTTATCCTCTTCTTTCGTTCAAATTTTTTTCACTTTTCTTTCTTTCAACATTCTCTTTGCATTTTCTTTCTTTCTTTCTTTCTTTCTTTCTTTCTTCAACATTGTCTTTGTTCTTTCTTTCTGCGTTATCTTCTTTTTCTCTACACTTTCGTCTGCCGTGTTTTTTTTTTCCTTTCTTTTTACTAATATTTTTCATACTTTCCGTCTTTCTTCATAATCTTTTTTAACAATTTTATGTCTTTCCTTATTTTTAATTCTTTCTTTGTATCAACAATGTCGTCATCATTTCTTTTCTCTTTCTTTCTTTTTTCAGCCCGTTCTTTCTTTCCACATTTTAATTCTTTTCTTTCTTTCAGAATTTCTTTCTTTCTTTCTTTTTACTTTCAACTAGTTTTCTTTCACCGTTCTCCCTGTTTCGTCTGTTTCTTTCTTTTCTTTCATTCTTGCTTGTATTTTTTCTTTCTTTCTTTTTTCTTTTCTCCCTTTATTGATTCGATCCATTTTCCTTCTTTCCTTTCTTTCCTAGAGCTATTTTCTTTCTTCTTTATTTCTTTTTAAAACTTTTTATCTTTTTCCATCTTTGTTTTTCTCTTCTTTCTTTATTTTTCATTTCCTTCTCTTTTTCTTTCGTCTTTCTTTCTTGCAACATATCTATTTTCATTTTATTTTTCTTCTATCTCTCTTTCAAATATTCCTTCGTTCTTTCTTTTTTCTTATTATATATCTTTTTAGCGTCTTTCTTTATTCCGAATTTCTGTCATCTTTTATCTTTCCTTCATTCTTTTTTCCTTCTTTCTTTCTTTCTTTCTTTCATTCTTTCTTTCTTTCTTTCTTTCTTTCTTTCTTTCTTTCTTTCTAAACCACCCAGTTATTTTATGTCATCATTTTTAATTCATTAATTCCTTTCTTTCTTTCTTTCTTTCTTTCTTTTCTTTCTTTCTTTTTTTTTTCCTTCAGCCTTCTTTCCGTTTTTCTTTCTGGTTTTCTTTCGTTTTTTTGTTTGTCTTTCTACATTATTCTTTTTTCTTGTTCTTTTTTTTCTTTCTCGTTTTTCTTTTTTTTTCTTTCTCGTCGTCCGTTATTTTATGTCATTTTTTTTAATCTTTAATTCCCTTTCTTTTCGTCGTCCGTTCTTTCTTTCTTTCTTTCTTTCTTTCTTTCTTTTCTTTTCTCTCCTTCAGCCTTCTCGTTCCGTTTTTCTTTCTGGTTGCTTCTTTCGTTCTTTGTTTGTCTTTCTACATTATTCTTTTCTTGTTACTTTTTTTCTTTCTTTCTCGTCCACCGTTCTTTCTTTCTTTCTTTCTCGTCGTCCGTTATTTCTTTCTTTCTTTCTTTCTTTCTTTCTTTCTTTCTTTCATTCATTCATTCTTTCTCTCTTTTATTCTTTCTTTCTTTCTTTCTTTCTCGTCGTCCGTTCTTTCTTTCTTTCTTTCTTTCTTTTGTTCGGTCATTCGATTTTGATTTATTTATTTCTTCTTCCAGGTGTTTTATTTTGACAACTTTTTCCATTTCATTGAAACAGCTTTTAAACGTTTCTATCTATCTATCTATCTATCTATCTATCTATCTATCTATCTATCTAAATGCAATGTCTTCATCTTCTGATGCCTTGATCTTGATCACCGTCCTCTCTTTATCCTTTCCTCAAACACTCCCTCTTTACTCTTACTTTCACTCTCTGTAACCCCTTGTGGGCTAGTGGCACACCTGGCTTGCTTGCTCTATCTATCTATCTATCTATCTATCTATCTATCTATCTATTGATCAGTTCATATCTATCTATCTATCTATCTATCTATATATATATATATATATATATATATATATATATATATATATATATAAAAGAAATATGTTGTAGTGGTTCCAACGAGAGAAAAGTATGTATATTAAAAAAGAAGAGGGTGCCGCAAACGTTTTTGGTTGTAATGTGGATTTATTGAGAAAAAATATTATACTTTGTTTTACATAATTTCACGACACGTGTTTCTGGTCTCGACCGTCTTCAGGTGAAAGTGGAGATTTTTACATATTATTAAAAATAATTAATTTTTCTTCATGTTCAATGTGGAATATTCTCGATATGAGATATTCTGTTTAGGTGTTGGCAATCCGACGGATTGCCAACACACAAAGACCAGACCAGAAACACGTGTCGTGAAATTATGTAAAACAAAGTATAATATTTTTTCTCAATAAATCCACATTACAATAAAAACGTTTATGGCATCCCCTCTTTAATATTTTATATATATATATATATATATATATATATATATATATATATATATAATCATATATATATATATATATATATATATATATATATATAATATAATATATTTTAATATATATATATATATATATATATATATATATATATATAATATTTTAATATTATAATATATATATATATATATATATATATATATATATATATAATCAATATTTTATATATATAATATTTTATATATATATATATATATATATAATCAATATTTTAATATATATATATATATATATATATATATTTAATATAATATTTTATATATATATATATATATATATAATATATATATATATATATATATATATATATATAATATATATATATATATATATATATATATATAATATATATATTTTAATATATATATATATATATATATAATCAATATTTTTATATATATATATATATATATATATATATATATATAATATATAATATATATATATATATATATATATATATATATATATATATATATATATATATATATATATATATTTTTATATATATATATATATATATATATATATATATATATATATATATATATATATATATATATATATATATATATATATATAATCAATATTTTAATATATATATATATATATATATATATATATATATATATATATATATATATATATATTATATATATATATATATATATATATTATATATATATCAGTCTGTTCTTATATAATATATATATCTATCTATCTATCTATCTATTATTCTATCTTTATTTTTTATCTTCTTTTCTTATTTTTTTTTTCTATCTTCTATCTATCTATCTATCTATCTATCTTTATTCTTCTTTATTTTTTCTTTGTTTCATTTTTTTTTCTTACTTGCTTTTCCGCCTTTTGCTTTTAATGACTTCCCTTTCTTTTTACTACAATTTTTGCTACTCTTCTCCACCCATTTTATTTTATTTATTTTTTCTTCAAATTTTAATTCATTCATTCATTCTTTTTTCTTTCTTTCTTTCTTTCTTTCTTTCATTCATTCTTTCGCTTTAACTGTTCCTCCTTTTCATTCTGAAATCATTCTTTCTTTCATTATTTCAATCATATTTTTCTTTACCTCTCTCTTAATTATTCTTACTCTCTTTATCTACCGCCATCTTGTCTCTTTCTTCTGTCTTTCTGTAATTTTTTTCATCTCTCAACTTTTTCAACTTTTGCTTCATTCTTTTTTTCTTATTTTTTTTTATATACAGTTCTCGTCTTTTTTCATTCCGATTTTCTTACGTCCATCTTTTATTCATTCTTTACTTCTTTCCTTTTTTTCTTTCTTTTTCATCTTTTTTTTCAGTTTGCTTTCTTTTTCTTACTTGCCTCTTCATTTTCCCCACCTTTACTTTTAATGTTTTTCCATCTATTTTATTTTCTTTACATTTCATTTTGACACCTTTCTCCACCGCCATTCTATTTTTAAGATTTTACTTTCTTTTTCCTTTCTATGTTTCTTTCATTCTTTCTTTTTCTAATATATTTCCTTTACATTCTTTCTTCTTTTTCTTTTTTTCATTCTTCCTCCTATCTTTTCTTTCTTTCTTTATTTCTTTCGTTCTTTATTTCTTTCTTTCTTTAACGAATCTATTTGCCTTATATTCTTTCTTCTTTTGCTCGTTTTTCAGTTTTCCTCCTAACTTTTCTTTCTTTCTTTTTTCTTTTTTCTTTTTCTAATCTATTTGCCTTCTTTTCCTTGTTTTTCATTCTTCTTCCTACCTTTCCTTCTTTCTTTCTTTCTTTCTTTCTTTTTCTAATCTATTTGCCTTACATTCTTTCTTCTTTTCCTTGTTTTTCATTCTTCCTCCTACCTTTCCATCTTTCTTTCTTTCTTTCTTTCTTTCTTTCTTTTCTAATCTACCTATCTTTTCTTTCTTTCTTTCTTTCTTTCTTTCTTTCTTTCTTTCTTTCTTTCTTTAACGAATCTATTTGCCTTACATTCTTTCTTTTTTCCTCGTTTTTCATGTTTCCTCCTAACTTTTCTTTCTTTCTTTTTTCTTTCTTTCTTTCTTTTTCTAATCTATTTGCCTTCTTTTCCTTGTTTTTCATTCTTCCTCCTACTTTTTCTTTCTTTCTTTTTCTAATCTATTTGCCTTACATTTTTTCTTCTTTTCCTTGTTTTTCATTCTTCTTCCTACCTTTCCTTCTCTCTTTCTTTCTTTCTTTCTTTGTTTTTCTAATCTATTTGCCTCACATTCTTTCTTCTTTCCCTTGTTTTTCACACACATTCTTTTTTTAAATGTTTTTCTTCACACTCCATCTTTTCTTCTTTGGCTTCTCTCTCACCTTTCCCCTTTTATCTTCTCCCCTCGCTTTCTTCCCTCTTCAGCTCTTTCTCAGTCGCCATCTTGTCTCTAAATAAGAACAAATCAGCTCTTCCTTTAATAAACCGCTCTTTGTCAAACTCTTTTTTTCAGTGCCGCCTTTTATTTTATTTTCTTTCTGAATAAAAAAAAACATTTTTTTTATCTTTGCCCGTCTATTTCGGCTCTCCTTTGTGCTTCATGTTTGCACTCGAAGCAAATTGCACCGACACGTTACTTGATTCGTACTGGAAGCACAATACCTAACACCAGAAATTCGTTAGGGAATATACTTCATGATATCGCGTGTACAGACATTTTACATGCAAGCCGGAATATTGAATATTGCTGGCCCCACCCCCTTATTCCACCAACACTACTTATTATACTATCTTTTTCCAAACGGTTCTTCCTTTTCAACCTAAGATCTCACATGGTAGTAATCGTCATCGGATCGTACGAACAGATTACAGTTTTTGAAGAATTATTATTATTATTATTATTATTATTAATAATTGAATTTTCACAGAAGATGTAATTGGTGGTTTTCAGTGGCGGGGTGAGTGGCAACCAGTTTTCTCAAATCATCACTAATCTATTCAGTATTCTTATTCAACTATTATTATTATTATTATCATCATCATTATTATTATTTGCTTTTCATTTTCGTTTTTACAAACACTTTTCGTTTATTATAAGTACTTATTATGAGTACAGTACCTCATAAGTAATGGACTCCTCCGTTTTGATCGCGTGGAAAGTGGACAAAAGACGCTACCTGGTTTCACTGAGAAAAAGAAAGAAAGAAAGAAAGAAAGAAAGAAAGAAAGAAAGAAGCGAATTTTGGAGTAACTTATTACTGGGTTTTAAAGGCAGTAATAAGTTACTCCAAAATTCGCTTGAGTATGAAATGGAACTAATGCTTTTAATTTAATTACAAAATTAAATTCGAGGCTTTTGGTTTCCGTTTTGAAACATGGTTAGAACTGTGTAGCGATAAAACCATATTTTAAATCAATTAATTTTATAATATATATATATATATATATATATATATATATATATATATATATATATATAAAGGTTTCTTTTCCTGTCAGGGATTCTATAATTTATCCATCGCAGCCTGTATGTCTGATAAAATGAGATGTCAGGGTTATTTTCATTTGGCGCCATTTAGACGACAATTTATCCATCGCACCCAGTATGTCTGATAAAATGAGACGTCAGTGTTAGTTTCATTTTGGCGCTATTTAGATAACAATTTATCCATCGCACCCTGTATATCTGTTAAAAAGAGATCATGTTATTTTCATTTTTTCCGTCATTTAGACGATTTTTTATCCATCGCACCCATCTATCTATCTATTTATCTATCTATCTATCTATCTATCTATCTATCTATATATATATATATATATATATAGGTAGATAATAAACGAACTGGAATAGATAGATAGATAGATAGATAGATAGATAGATAGATAGATAGATAGATAGATAGAAACAAACACACATATCAATAGAAGTTCGCAGATACTTGCATTGAGTCCCTACTTAATTATAGCCTACACGCACATTCTTATGTATATATAGATATATGTATATATATATTTATATATGTGTGTGTGTGTATGTGTGTGTGTGTGCGTGTGTTGTCTGCGTGAGAGCGCACTCGAGCCAAACGTCGAGCGTGCAAATATCCTTTGGTTATTTCTGCCTGACGGCCATATTGTCATCCGTTAACTTTTCCGCAGTCAGGGGTTAATGAAGCGGACACTTCACTACCAATCACGCTCGAACGACGACATCCACCCACGCGTAAAGCTGCGTTCCAATTCCGTGATAAAGAAAAGGAAAGCCCAATGCTTCGATGCTTGGTCTGCTAACCGTGAGGTTCAATCAAATGGTCGACGTATTCGGCTTTTCTTTCTCCATAAGAAAAAGAATTTCTCACCTTCCTCTGCCTTTTCGTATCATCGTTGAAGTAAGAAAAATAATAATAATGCAACCTACGTACATTGCAGTTAGGAATAGAGTCAGCCCCTTGAATAAATAATAGCGACATGAGTGTCTTTATTCTTTTATGGAGTTTAACACAGTCGAAGAAGTTTTGACTTGCTTTCATGTGATCGCCAGTAACAATTTCCTCTTGTTGCCGATGTAAAGATACAAATAACAACAACAATTTTAATTGACAGTTCTTCTTTATATGTGATATGTCTCTTCAGGACATTAGGTTGGTCGGTTTTTTTATAGTGTCATATCAACACCTCTATGGCTTATTTAATCTAAATATTTTCAACACAATTATATGGCTTCAAGTAAATATATGTATTGTTGGTCATTTTGCTTAGCAGCATATCAACATCTCTATGGGTTATTTAATACCGAAATCTAAATATTTTGAACACAATTTTATGGCTTCAACTAAATATATTTTGAACGCAATTGTATGCCTTCAACTACATATGTGTATTGTTGGTCATTTTGTTTAGCGGCATATCAACATCTCTATGGGTTATTTAATACCGAAATCTAAATATTTTGAACACAATTTTATGGCTTCAACTAAATATATTTTGAACGCAATTGTATGCCTTCAACTACATATGTGTATTGTTGGTCATTTTGTTTAGCGGCATATCAACATCTCTATGGGTTATTTAATACCGAAATCTAAATATTTTGAACACAATTTTATGGCTTCAACTAAATATATTTTGAACGCAATTGTATGCCTTCATCTACATATATGTATTGTTGGTCATTTTGTTTAGCGGCATGTCAACTGGAGCAAAAGATAGCTTTTAGTTTTAACGCTCCAAAACTAAACTTGTCCCTGTTAAGCATCTGAGAGACCCCTTTCTCCCTTTCATCAGTATGGCTGATGCTATCCTCTAAGAAAGTGATCTGTTGTGCCTCCTCGGGCTAACGTTCGCAGCTGACATGACGTGGAAAATCAATATTGAATCTATTGCTGGGTCAGCTGCTAAAAAGTTGGCTCACTGTGTTGCACGAGACACTTTTTCTCTCCGGAATCTATCTTACATATTTATAAGTCTACCATGCTTCCAGGCTTAGAATATTGCTTCACGATATGGCCCGTGTCCTTGCTATTTACCTGGAGCTCCTTGATAAAGTCGAAAAAATCAGCAATATAGTTAGTCTCGATCTAGCATCTCAGATTTAGCCACTGTCTCACAGCCGTAAAGTTGCCTCTCTCTGCCTTTTTTATAAATACTTTTATGGTAATTGTTCGGGTGAGCTCTTCGCTATGATACCTAGATTTTATGAATTTAAATCCAGTAATAGACAATTGTCATCATCTCATAAATTTACAGCTGATTTGGTTAGATGCAGCCGTAAGTTCTTTACTAACAGTTTCTTTTGTCACACTTCTCGCCTGTGGAACTCCCTTTGGCTCCATGCTTTCCAGCCAATTTTAATGTGGAAAAATTAAAATGCAATGTCAATTGCTATCTACTATCCTCCTGATTACTCTTTTCTATTCCTGCTCATTATTAATGTCTCTGTTCCTAATTTTTCCACACCCTGTAATCCCCTTGTGTCTTAGTGAAATTGGGGTGAAATCGATTTAGAAATAAATGTGGTGGAAGAGATGAGGAAACGATATTGAACGTTGTCTTCAAATATCATTCAGAGATAAGAATATCAATTCCAATTGAGCTTAATCAATTTCAACCAAAGTGTTGTGGTAGGATCCACCTAATTTGCATAGTGGAGTACCGACCATATAAATATGGTTGGTACCGGGAAGAGAGGAAGGAATCAAGAGATTCAACCAGAGACTCTGCCCGACTGCAACTAAGTCAACACATTCTCCAGGAACGGTCTTCCCAGGAATATACAAAAGACTATATGTAAATATTGTTTCAATACATTTTGTTCTAAGTACATTTTGTGTTGCATTATTATTCCATGCATTAGTCAAGTTTCAACACAAAGGGGCCATTGTATTGATCATGTTAGTTTCATCAGTTCTCAATTCAATATCTGTTATTTAAATGTTTGCAGATCAAAGGCAATAAATCCACTAAGACGCAAGAGGGTGTTCCGTGTTAGAGAATATGAGATAAATACCTATTAAGCAGAGAGAATAATAAAAGAATAAGAATTAAGACGACAAAAGATAACGATTGACTTTGCATTTAAATTTTTGAAAATCAAATTAACTGGAAAGCATTGAACCGGAAGCGAGTTCCACAAGCGAGAAATGCGATAAAAGAAACGGTTAGCATAGAAATTACGGTTACATCTGGCCAAGTCAACTTTAAACTGATGAAACCTTGATGTCAGTTTAGTACTGTGATTGAATTCATAAAGTCTGGGTACCATAGAGAAAAGTCCATC